CACACACACACACACACACACACACACACACACACACACACACACACACACACACACACACACACACACACACCAAGAACACCCCCAACACCCACATTGTATCCGTACCCCAAGGCATGGCAGAGGACCGCGCCCACGTGGAGGCGGTGATCTCGCGCCTGCTGGCGACGCTCAAGGGCCCAGGCGGCTTCGGGGCGCGCCGCGGGGCCGCGTTTGGGCTGGCCGGCGTGGTCAAGGGCCTGGGCATCGCGTCCCTCAAGGGGTGGGTGGGCAGAGGGTGCTTTTATTCCGAGGTTTTTCTCTGGTGTCGGTGATCTTCATCATCATGTTGATCTTCCTGCGCGTTGAATCTTTCTGGGAAAAAAACTGGGCCGGGGTCTCGAGAGGACGGGGGTCGGGCTGGTGCACAGGAACTGTCGCCGCCAACTCGGCTGCCGCGCCGCGCGGTGGGCGGGGCATGGTGTCGTTGGTGCTGCGCCTGCGGGCGGGTGAACTGTCGTGAGTCCAAGCGACACCACCCGGCCGCAAGCGCGCCCCTCATCCCTCCCCTTCGTTGCCCTGCCCTGGCCAGCACACACGGATTTGACTGGTGCATCCCTGACCACGGCCCCGCGCTGCATGACACTTTTGTCGAAGCACCTGCAGCGCTCGCGCGCAATTACAGCCACTCAAGCTCTTCATCTTACACACGCGATCTCTTACTAGCCGCCACTGCACCAGCCCCACCCTGCCATCTTCCCTCTGCACGTGATGTGGCCGCCTGTTTCACCTGCGACTCGCTCCGTCACCCGCCGCGTCACCCCCCGTCACCAGTTACGGCGTGCTTGACGCCCTAAAGCAATACGTGGAGGACAAGAAGAGCGCCACCGCCCGCGGTACGCTTTGCTCACTGAGTTTTGTTTGGTGGAGCGGGGATGAGGCTAGACGGGGCGAGGCGGGGGTGGCACCTGTGCAAAGCTTGCAGAGCCACGCCCAGCCGGCCATGATGAAACACCGGATTAATCAATTCAATCACGATTCCTCCCACCCTCCCCATTGCAGAGGGCGGCCTGATGGCGTTTGAGTGCCTGTGCGAGAAGCTGGGGCGCCTGTTTGAGCCCTATGTCATCCACACCCTGCCGCTGCTGCTGTCCGCGTTCGGGGACGCGGCGCCGGCCGTGAGGGAGGCGGCGGCGGACGCGGCGCGCGCCATCATGGGGCAGCTCTCAGCGTGTGAGCAGCGCGGGCGCGCGTGCGCGCCTCGCGTGGGGGCCTTCGTTTTGTCCAGGTCTGCGCACCGGTCCTCAAGCAGCGACGATCAGCACCCTGATCCTGCCCATGGCCTCTCTGTTTCCAACCCACGTTCGCGCTCGCACACCGGCCTTCCTGAAAGAATCCCTGCTCACCCCCCGCATATACGCCCCCACCTCGACCCACCCCACCCTCCGCAGCCGGCGTGAAGCTGGTGCTGCCCGCGCTGCTCAAGGGGCTGGAGGACCCGGCCTGGCGCACCAAGCAGGGCTCTACCCAGCTGCTGGGTGCCATGGCCTACTGCGCCCCCAAGCAGCTCGGGTCATGCCTGCCCACCATCGTGCCGCGGCTGGGGGCCGTGCTGTCAGACCCCCACCCCAAGGTGCGGCGCGTTGATGGCTGTGTGGCAGGCCCGGCCGCCATCGTTCTCGGGGCCGGCACGCGCGCCGCTGCCGCTCCTCACCCCTCACTATGCACGCCGGATCCCCCTGGGTCGCCAATGCGCGCGCCCCCTGCGCCGCCCCCGGCTGTCGTCTTCGTCTTGTGTCCCTCCAGCTGCCCCTGGACATGCCAGGCCCCCTGTTGTGCATCTCCTGGACCCCAGCGCAACACACAGTCGTCACTCCACTCCAACACACACACACACACACACACACACACACACACGCACGGGCACGCGCACACGCACACGCACGCACACGCACACGCACACGCACTCACACGCACACACACACGCACGCGCACACGCACACGCACGCACACACACGCTCACCCCCGCAGGTCCAGTCTGCCGCGCGCGACGCCCTGGGGGAGGTGGGGCGCGTCATAGGGTCCCCCGAGATGGCGGCCCTCGTGCCCTCACTGCTGGCCGCCATTGCAGACCCCAACGAGGCCACAAAGGTACGC